GTGGCAGGGGGGCTGGAGCCCTTCCCTTGCCGTTTTGACTTGAAGGCTTGTGGGCCTGAGGTCTCCATCAAGCGGTGTGGGGTAGAGTTCATAACAGAACCTTCTCCACTGAGGCCGTTACTGTGGCGTGTATCGTTGCCTAGAAATCTTGGGAACGTTGAGAGAGTGCACCATGACTCGTTCCCGTCCTGTTGTGAGATAGTGTGAGGGTCAGCACATAGGGGTGTTAGACTCCTGGTAGAACTGGGGATCACCCAGGTAAAACGGTTTGAATTGCCTGCTTTAGTATGTCTGAGAGTATGAATACTCGTGCCAAGTGTAGAGGGGTCACCTCTATTAGTTTAATCTGGCTACTGAGAGTCGTGGTGCAGGCGGTGACTGGTAGTGGTGTCGGTCTGGCTAGCCGGGTTCACCACAAATGTACGCCAGAGCTGTATGCACGGTTTTTAACTATACAAGCTTTGTATATAGGCGCATGGGGCCTGTCTCCATAAGGTCTGCAGCCGCAGGACCCATGTCTATTAGGCTGGGTTCATCCCATGTGGTGTGCCATGGTAACCCAGAGGACACCCATATTATAATTATTGGCACCTTACAAGCATTGCATGCATATCTGGGGGTCCTCCCAGGTGGTGTGCCATGAAACATTACCCAGAGGACACCCACGTTTAATATGTACACTAGGCACAGTAAATATACATATATGTATCCCTGTGAAGGGTACACCGCAATACACTCAGTTTTCTTAGTGATCCTGCCGTCAAAACGCATCCGGCATGGTACTGTTGCTTTAATGTAAAACTGACAGGCAGTGTGGCGTAGGCCTCCGTGCATATGATCGGGGTTCACCCCGGGTGGTGTGCCATGGTAACCCAGAGGACACCCACATCAAAGGTAATGGTCTGTCAGTGACCTTGCATGCATATCTGGGGGTCACCCCAGGTGGTGTGCCATGAAAAAATACCCAGAGGACACCCACATAAATTTGCACCGTCAGGTACAGTAATATAATATGACCCTCTGTAGGGTACAATAATATAATATAATATGCCCTTTGTAGGGTACAGTAACACAATATGCCCTTCGTAGGCTACAGTGATATAGTTGATCTTGTTATAGGCACAGTATATGTTTTGTATAACGACTGTGATATTGTATGGCTTCACAATAATACATAGATTGTGTGCCTGCTCAACATATAATCATCCAGTGTAAGGCACCATGAGAGATATATCCATGAGAATAAAATATAATAATTGTATCAATAAATGAATGTGCCCAGAGAGGGGGACCCCTGAAGGGGTTAATCCAGATGCAGGGCGCGGTGATCAGGTGATTCCTGTAGGGTATAGAAATATAGTATGACCCTGTGCAGGGTATAGTAATATGGTATGACCCTGTACCTAACTCTGATCTTGTGGAGAGTATAACAGTATATAGTATAACCCTAATTGGGGTATATTAACTGGTATGACCCTAAGCAGGGTATAGAGACATAGAGGTCTTGAGCTGGCAACAAAAAGGGGGTGCTTGTCTCTTTTAATTCATATATTGTAAATGGGCAGCACAGCAGGCAGGCACTGGGCAAAAATATCACCTGCTACACTAATACCCTCCCTAGTACACACTAGGGAGGGTATACAGATGTGGAGCCCGGCGGTCGGGTGAGTTACCGATCCGCCGGGCAAGCGGGGAAGGCGGCCGTCCGGTATCTCGCGAGCCGCGAGATCCAAGATGGCCGCCGCCCGCGTGTGAAGGTGCGCCGCGATCGACCGCGCGGCGCCGGAACGAAAAAAAGGGGGGAAACGCACACAGCACTGTTCCCAGTCCCCCTCCACCCGTCCCTCTACCGGCCCCCACGAAGAAAAACAGGAAACCGGCCCGCGGCGCGCGGCACTGACAGCCGTGCTCGCGGGTATCGGCCATGGAAAGTAATAGGGGGGGGGGCCTAAAACCGTGCAGGGACAGGGATAAGGGGACCCGAAAATAAACCCACGAAAAATAAGTAAATAAAAAACAGTAAATTAAAACAATACAGTAAATGAAACAATACAATCAAATATATAGTGAAAACAAAACCAAAAATATGTGAAAACGAAAAAAAAAAAACAATGTATATAAGCAATTGCCAGAGAGGCAAAATACTCTGACCTGATGTTGGCTGGAGCAGCAAAGAAAGAGGAAGTGATGTCATAGACAGGGCCTTTTATGGGCATTATATCTTTTTTCTGATTGGTTGTTTATGTTACTATGCTGCTGGAGTTTTGAGTAAAGAAAGATATGCAAATATGAAGCCTCCTGTCATGTGGTAAAATGTGTATTATATAGATATGTAGATCATATATACAAACACACATAAATATCAATGAGTGTTTAAACCATTGTAAGGATGCAGTGTGTTAAATGAATTCAGGTGAGGAGTGGTTTAATGACTTGATTGGTGTGTTATGGAAACCTGCTGATACAGTCAGACACATTACTGGGAGTAGTATTGCTGTGGAGCTCTGTTATACACTCAGACACATTACTGGGAGTATCATTGCTGTGGAGCTCTGTTATACGCTCAGACACATTACTGGGAGTATTATTGCTGTGGAGCTCTGTTATACACCCAGACACATTACTGGGAGTATCATTGCTGTGGAGCTCTGTTATACGCTCAGACACATTACTGGGAGTATTATTGCTGTGGAGCTCTGTTATACACTCAGACACATTACTGGGAGTAGTATTGCTGTGGAGCTCTGTTATACACTCAGACACATTACTGGGAGTATTATTGCTGTGGAGCTCTGTTATACACTCAGACACATTACTGGGAGTATTATTGCTGTAGAGCTCTGTTATACACTCAGACACATTACTGGGAGTATTATTGCTGTGGAGCTCTGTTATACACTCAGACACATTACTGGGGGTATTATTGCTGTGGAGCTCTGTTATACACTCAGACACATTACTGGGAGTATTATTGCTGTGGAGCTCTGTTATACACTCGGACACATTACTGGGGGTATTACTGCTGTGGAGCTCTGTTATACACTCGGACACATTACTGGGGGTATTACTGCTGTGGAGCTCTGTTATACACTCAGACACGTTACTGGAAGTATTATTGCTGTGGAGCTCTGTTATACACTCAGACACATTACTGGGAGTATTATTGCTGTGGAGCTCTGTTATACACTCAGACACATTACTGGGAGTATTATTGCTGTGGAGCTCTGTTATACACTCAGACACATTACTGGGGTATTATTGCTGTGGAGCTCTGTTATACACTCAGACACATTACTGGGAGTATTATTGCTGTGGAGCTCTGTTATACACTCAGACACATTGCTGGGGGTATTATTGCTGTGGAGCTCTGTTATACACTCAGACACATTACTGGGAGTATTATTGCTGTGGAGCTCTGTTATACACTCCTACACATTAACGGGAGTATTATTACTGTGGAGCTCTGTTATACACTCAGACACATTACTGGGAGTATTATTGCTGTGGATCTGTTATACACTTAGACAGGTTACTGGGAGTATTATTGCTGTGGATCTGTTATACACTTAGACACATTGCTGGGAGTATTATTGCTGTGGAGCTCTGTTATACACTCAGACACATTACTGGGAGTATTATTGCTGTGGAGCTCTGTTATACACTCAGACACATTACTGGGAGTATTATTACTATGGAGCTCTGTTATACACTCAGACACATTACTGGGAGTATTATTGCTGTGGAGCTCTGTTATACACTCAGACACATTACTGGGAGTATTATTGCTGTGGAGCTCTGTTATACACTCAGACACATTACTAGGAGTATTATTGCTGTGGGCTCTGTTATACACTCAGACACATTACTGGGAGTATTATTGCTGTGGAGCTCTGTTATACACTCAGACACATTACTGGGAGTATTATTGCTGTGGAGCTCTGTTATATACTCAGACACATTACTGAGAGTATTATTGCTGTGGAGCTCTGTTATACAGTCAGACGCATTACTGGGAGTAGTATTGCTGTGGAGCTCTGTGATACACCTAGACACACCAACAATATGGAGCTCCTAGAAAAGATGGGCAGAGGGATTTGGGGACAAAATAGGGACTGTGCCTCCTAAATAGGGACACTTGGGAGGTATGCCATGGCAAACAGCTACCAATGTTTTCTCTTATCAGTACAGCACAGGGCAAAATGGTGTAAATAACTCCCCTATGAATGGCCCTTATTTTGATTTAAATGTTGTATCAATTAAAAAGTAATAGCTTTGCCCTTTGTGTAATATTTTCTGTGGATCCCCCAGGGTGCCTTTATCCCCTTACCATGACTTCCTACTCTGCCCCTTAGTTTAGGGACTGTTGTGCAGCCAGGATCAGGGTGCATGTTTGTGTGGCACTCCAAAATACATAACAAATAATTGCAAATTATCCTAATTTTATTGAAGAGATAATCTTAATTTTAATTATGACAGGAGGCAAATATTTGCTTTACTTTCTTTACTACATCTCAATGGCATGAAAAAAAAAAGTAACCAATCAGAAAATAGGAAACAATGTTATAAATGTCCTAGATTACAACATATAAATAACCCCTACAATATATTGCTCCATGTAAATTAGCCCTGGCTATCTAGGGGGTTCATATATGTAGCCACTGTGTCAGCGAGAGAGAGGGGTAAAATGGCGGCTGGAGACCATCTTATACTATTTGTACTATTTATTTTCTCATATTGTCCTTGTTGCTATGGAGATGCAGTAAAGAAAGTAAAGTAAGTATTTGCCTCCTGTCACGTTGAAAAATTGTGGTCTCCGCCACCAGCAGTGTGTTTAAAGTGTCACATAAATCAGTTAATACTTACCGGAATACATATAGAATACAGTAGTATTGAGAATAGGTACTGTCTGTAGTACCAATAAAATCTCAATAATATTCCGTCCGTGCTGCTTTCACTGCAATCGGATCAATAACAGAGTGCACAAAGTGGGACAATTCTTTATTAAATGTAACAAACGTGTCCCCTTCTCCCCTTACCCTTAGTAGAATAAAGCACACTCACTAAATATAGAGAACCAAATACATGGAACTAATCTGCTCCAACATAGCTCCCTGTGTCTCAATCTGAAAGCTCTACTTTTTATTAAATACATAAAAAAATATAGGGACTACTATTCCTCATGTGTAGCAGTCAAAGTGACAAAACCTGGCACAGGGCGGAGCTTAAAG